CAGCCGCTAATAAACAGGGCTTGCCCGACAACGGCTGAAAAAGGGATCGTTGGAGACTTATTTCTCGTAGTTTCCAATAAATTTGCTAAATTCTGTCTCCGTGCTCGTGTTTTCGTTACGGAGGACGAGGCAGAGGGAACCCAGCTCCTCCCCCTGAGCCCCGGGAAGTTTTTACCCCTCCGGGGAGCAGGGCGGCGTGACAGAGTCACGTTTTCTCATCAGGGAAACGAACAAAACGACACAAAAGGCTAAAAAGGGCCGGATCCGGCACCGGCGCAACAGCAGCGGAGCCGAAAGACGCCCCGTACCTTGGCGGGAGGCGCCGGCGCGTCCCCGCTCCCTTCCCCTTCGCCCAGCACCTCCTGCAGCTCGGCCTGCGAAGCGTCGGGAGTTCCGTCAGTGACGATCCGGGGCGGAAAAGCCCTTTTTTCGGGACAAGGCGATCCCGAGGAGCAAAGCCCCGGGGACCAGAGCTCCCCCGAGGGCTCAAACCCCTTCTCACCATGAGATCGTCTTCATCTTCCAGCTCTTCGTCACCATCCCCCTCCTCTTCCTCATCCGGGTCCTTCATGCAGAGGGCGGCCATCCTCTCAATCGCCTCCATCGGCAAAGGGGCTGGAGGAGAAGCAGCACGAGGGGTTTTCTGGAGCCCTGCACCCATTTTTGATGCTTTCAGCCCATGTGCAGGGGAGTCCGGCCCGGGGGGGAGCAGAAACAACCCAACAGCAGCCACTTTCCGCACGGCGCGGTATTAATTATCCCAGAAATCGACGGTGGACGAGCCCCCGGGGCGGCAGCGCTCACTTTTCCCCTTGGGCTTCTCTCCCGGTGCGGCTCGGCCTCCCACCAGCGCCAGCAGCTCGGCCTCCAGCTCGGCGGCATCGTCCCCGGCGTCGTCCCCCGCCGTCCCCTCCGGAGAGAGGTCCACCAGCAAACCCATCTGCGGGGAGGGAGCGGGCACAGCCCTGAGGGCACAGCGCTAACGCCGCCGCCTCGTTAGGGCGAGGGGATCCCCCGGGATCCCGCTGAGGGAAGGAGGGATCGACGTGGATCCTACAGGGTGGAAGCCAGCGCGCCCCATGGCTCGGCACTGAGCCCACGGTGCCCTGAGCGACGCCGCCACGGCGACCCACGAGGTGAATAAAAGCACTTAAACTAATTAAACTAATAAAAGCGCCTAAATAAAGGCGACAGACAGCGAAGATGCGCCCAGCTCGGCGACACAAACCCCGCAACGGGAACAACCGGCATCGCCGCCGGCGCCCGTTGAACCGAAGTGCGTCCCGGCGCGAGAGGCGTGGCAGAAAAGCGCCGCAACGGCTCAGGTTTCCCTC